ACATCGTTGTTGTTGGAATAAGATTGCACCACCAGGTGAAATGCAGAGCTCTGGGAAGTGTTTCTTATTTCAAAAGGTACATGGTCTCACTTTAGAGACCATATTCTGGTTTAACTTTGACCCTCTGTACTTGCCATACACGTGCAGCTTCTCCGTGCAATGAAAGATCTTTAGCAACGTGCTTTCAGTTTTGCCTCCAAATAAAGTGGTTTAGATCATCTGGCTTGACTCTTGGTATGTTTACAACCAGTCGGATCTATTGTTGTAGTGATGACTCCATGTTCCCAGATCTCAGTAATTACTTATCACAGTCAATAAAAATGATGGCGAAACTACAAAACGCAAGACCCTAAAATCTGTAATTATCCTTTTAAGTACGTAGGTCAGGTCTAACCCTCGACAACCACAGAAAACCATATGCACACTGTGAAGTATAAGATGTTTGATATCCGATATTGTGAATTGCAATAATATTGCTGTTCTGTAATATTGTTTTTTGATCAAAATAGTAAAGTTAAGTGTCAAAAAAAGTCAGTACCTTCTCAAAGAAGCATTTTGTGATATGCTCATGATAATAAATACCATTTGCTTTAGTTATCTTTCTAACTGACAAATCGTTTTTGGAAAGGACGCTGTGGTTTGATACTAACTCTTGTGTTGCCCGAGTTAAACAAATGACTCTCAAAGTAGCATTCTTAAATCGTGTGTTTGATTTTTCCACTGTCAGCAAGATAACCTCGCTAAACTTTGAGCACACTGTCATCCGTTGTATATATTTAGACTATGACTCACTGTTCTTTTCATATGTTCTCCTCTCACGGTCCCACACATGGATGGGAGTTTCGTGCAGCTCATCACAATTTAGGCCGCATTAGATCTGAAGGTTTTATGACCTTTCCCTTCTCTTGAGAGACAGCTGAAAACACCTGAGCCTCACCAGCCGGCGTTCCCCTTCAGGTTGAGGGTATGTTTATGTGTCTTTAAACCTCACGCCTGAAGCTAAGTCACACTTGAATTGAAATAAAAACATTACCCCAACATGCCATATCCATCGTCTGAATCTCACAGCTTTTCGACAGCAGGTTTTAGCACACAGATGCGTCATTTAAACTGCAAACATATGATCTTTATTTTCATTGAGGAGGAGATCTAAATCCAGCTTCAAAAATCTTACTTGAAGCTCTTAAAAGTTAACCACTGAAATGAGATAAATTCTTATTTGTCAGCTGCTGATCCAATTTACCAAATTAAGTAGCTGCCCAAGACGAGTTGATGTAGCAGTTGGCAGAAAGAGAAGGGTTATAAAACATTGTCTTACTTTCTAAGGTTGGTTTTAAGAAGGACATTTGCATTAGAAGTTGGAGTCCTGCTGCCCTAATCATGAATAACACTGTAAAAAGGCAACTTCTTTGTGAAACAGCAGGAAGAACCAGCACAATTCCTCTCTATTCTGTGACTTTTAAAAGGCGCGTGTCCCTTTTAGAAGTGCACTTTCAGACACTACACCCACAAACAGACAGAATTGGAGAAAAGGCATTCCACAGAGTACAAATCCCACACAAAATAGGGATGTTTGTACGGCATCAAAAGGCTACTGCTCCCTGGCCGTGCTCCATATGACCAAATATGGAAAGAAAAATGCTGCCTTTTCCCGTAACCAAACTGGGAAAAAGAAGAAAAAAAAAAGGAGGGGGGGAGAGGTTCTCTTGCATGCTGTGTGCACAGCGAGATAGAGCTCTCACACTCACTACACAGTGGCCTCAGAGTTGGCTCCCTCTCAAAACAGCATGACTGACGGTGATGCTGGACCTGCCGCGACATCTCAGCGAACACTGTCGGGCAGACATACACACACAAACACGCAACACCTGCACGACTCAGGAGTCATGAAAGAGAGGCACGCCGAACCTTTTCACTACGCTGACATTTCATTTTTAAACACACAAAAGCTTTCTGCACTTTCACATATGAGCTCTATAGCGGAGTCTCAGCAGTGCACTTTGAGTGGAGCCCACTGGAAGGGAACATTCCTCTTGGTGGAAAAGCAGCCGTCTCAAACGCCACAGTCCTGTGCTTAAGTTAGAAAGAGTTTGTTTATCCCGCCCTGTTATATTGAGCAGCTCTGACATTCTCCTGCCATTGCAAAAAATGTCTACATGGGTATTTGACTTCACAAGAATCTTATCATATTATCTGGGACACTTTTTGGAGGCTTGTTTGAACTAACAGCAATGGAGGAAAAGAGAGAGATGAAAAATAAAGAGCAACAGACACGACGCAATAAATAAAGGGACTTGTTTTTGTTTTTGTTTACAAAACCAGCTTAACAAATCACTGACATTTTGTATTCCATCTTAAAGGAATAGGTCGACATTTTGGGAAATATGTATATTGACATAACTTTTTAAAGAGAAGATTGATACCACTCAAACCTGTGATGTTAGCATCACAGGTTTTTACAAAGAAACGTAACATTTTAGAAACGGTTATGTCCTTTATAACCTCCCCGGGTAACGAGTATCACTATTACACCTAGTTTAACCATTATTAGCTCGAAATCCAAAATATAGAAGTCTATGGAGCAGAGCCGGGTAGATGTCGGAGCCTCATCAGAGCTGGCCGATGCTACGCTATGATTGGCCAGTCTGTGTTCAAGGGCAGGACTTAGTGAAGGGACAATTTGTTTTGCTTAGTTTGCAAAAACAACATTAAAACTTATGGCTTTACACAGATTAGTGCTATTCTTTCTCCCTGCTACCAGTCTTTATGCTAAACTAAGCTAATCACCGTTAAATCTCCCTAAAGAGAAACAATCTTTTGATTGATGGGACAAAAGTTGATTGAGTTGAATTCAATAAATGACTGAAATATCTCCTTTTAGGGCAACATTACTCTTTAAAATGAACATCTTTTGTTTTGCTGCCCAGCAATGAACAAAGTGATAAACAAGCCTATCCGGCTCTTTCTTCTCCTGCATGCTCAGGTTTCAGGCGGTTTTAGCTTTCAGCGCTGCAGCACTCTTATGTAAGCATCTCCTTCAAAAAATACTTCAGCTATTCTGGTGCAAATATCCACAAAGTCAAATAACCTCAATAAATATGCACCCCTGCACTTGACACGCGATATTAGCAGTCTGTTGTGTAATTCGCACAAGGACATTACAGTCAAAACCTTCATCTTTTTGTCACTCGGGACCAAATGCGATATCATACTATAAAGGGCCAATACTGCATAAAAACCACACTATACTATGATCAAACAAACCAAGACTAATGAATAAATACATGCAAGTTTTCAAAAATAATTTTCCTGTCATAACAAACCAGAGCTATGATGAATACACGAGGACAACATCATCAAGTCTCTCAGTGCCTTAGGGCGCACTGTGACTTGAGTCTATTAAAAATAGGACTGTAAATAAATAATGACAGACAGACGCTGTATGAAGCCAATGACAAAGGAGGTGATGGTAAACTCAATGAACTGAAAAAAAACATCTTAACAGGTCCAAATTGCACCAAATTCGACAAGCACTCCCTTGGGTCCCAAGCAATACACCCACCAAGTGTGAAATAAATCAGATGAACGGCTCTCGAGATAAACAAAGGAACCGCATATATACATACAGACAAAGATTCATAGTTAGACGCACACAAGAACATGTGACTTGTTATGAACCCATTCCTCATCCTTCTCTCATGTCCATTCCTAAAGGAAAAGCAGCCTCCTCTTGTTCCTTTAGGACAGCCCGTCTTGACACCTGCCGTCTGTCAGAGCATATGTGGCCGGGGAAGGAGTCTCTGACTCCTCAACAGGACATTAATCTGCTACTAGTGAGCTGACCAGGGAGACTAGTGGAACCAGAGAACTGATATATGGAGGGCTTTAGCCCCAGCACTGCTACTGCCGACGCTGCAGCTAGAGAACAGTTTATCCAGCTGATGGCAATAAAGCAGAGTCGAACGGAAAAAGGATAAAAACAGGACAGAACAGAGCAGAAATGACCTCTACTACGCCTAAAAGCTGTGCTTTCTTAGAGGTCTCTGAGCAAAAGCTCAGCTCTTGTAACCAGAAACTGAAAGATCACAGTTTCAATCACTGCAAAAAGCCAGCGTGTCTGGCTATAAGGCCCCCAGGCAAGAGCCAGAACTTGTCCTTTTTTAATAAGTGTAAGTCACTCGAGATAGGCACCAAAGCTCAATGACTAAAATATGAAAGTATATGTGATTAGCATGATCCACGGCAGCCCACAGCCTCTGGTATATACGGGCAATAACATGACATGCTGGAAACATTACGTGGAACATCAAAATGTATTTCTCATAAAGCTTGAGAGGTTCCTGATGTGTTTCTAGAAGGCAAAACATGGAAAGAAAATGGATCTGCTGAACATTTGTGACATGCTTCCTATAAGAGCCACGTTTCTGTCGTGGTGGACGTGTGGCTCTCCGTGGCCGGAGAGAAACTTCACTTTGGTGAAAGAGGGAGAGGATAAAAAAAAGGAATATAAACGGCGGAGTGATTTATGTGGCTGGCTATAACCACAGTAAGAAAGTACGTCTTCCCATCATACCTTACATGGAAACATACATGAGGTTAGAGTGAGGCTGTAGAGCATGATGCAATGCCCCCACATACTGAGTGCCTGCTGAAAACATGACAACTGAGTGCAAACCCTGGCACAAGTTTGCCTTTTTTTTGCGCATGCCCAGGAAAACACAAAGAAAACCACTTTTGCGGAAGACGTATTTATTTAAATCTCTCCAGAATGTCATAAATCTTTATCTCTTTTGCCTTGTTTTAACACACAAGTTAGTAAATCACAGCAGCGGAATGCCAATTTTTTTAAGTGTGCAGCGAGGCTTTTCAAGGGTATTACATGACAAGGTATTTTTCAAAATAAGGGGCTGCATTCCTGGAGAGAGATAGGAGGAGATTAAGGAGCGGGTTAGGGTTGTGGGTGAGCAAGATGACCTGACCGGAGTTGGTCTATTACTCACAGTGGATGTGGAGAGGTGGAGTAATCCCCTGACAGTGCTTTCAGTTCAGTCCTACTGGTGGAAATCTGAGGGTTTCTTTAGGGAACACACAGACAAGAAACTTGTAAAATAGATAAAAGGCAGAAAAAGGGATGACAATAGAGAGTCTCTCTCTCTCTCTCTCTGCGGTCCTGACATGCTCTCCGAGAGGGGGGCAAAGCCATTTAATGGTGGATGAACTTGGACTCCTTAGCCAGGTGTGGAAACTACAAGATGTCTCTGATCAGTATACTCAGCGGTTGATAAATGTGCTTCAGTTGCCATGCCACTGACGAAGGGAAGAAATGTGGTGTTTCTAACAGTAAGACACATCCAACAGGGTTACACTGCACACCTAACATCTCTCACTGTTGGGCTACCTTAAAAGGTACTTAAACAGTTACATTGACATTCAGTGTTTCTCTCGAAAAAAGTTTCACGAGTCTCCTTAAACCTTTTGTAAGGCAAACAAACCTTTGCATCTTGTTTTTCTGCACTACTTCCTGCGTTCATCTACCACCCTCTGCAGTCAGCAGGAGTTGGTTTTGCATTGCATTAAAAGTTCAATAGTACTTTTAGGTCTGTCTAAGAGATTCAATTCAATATTTCATGAATCTTCCAGTAATACTTCTCTCTAAATGTAAGCTGGCACATATCGACTGTGCAACCGGCACAGGGGAGAAAAACACTGTAGTAATGGGAAGAAGTACTGTAATAGAAAAAGGTAAAGCATAGCTCTTGACAAAGGACTGCAGAAGTCAGCACAAAATTCAGTCGAGTAAACCAGTCCTAATTCCAGTCCACCGACACCGGCTGACAGATATGATGCGAGGAACTAGAAATGTGGAGCACATTCAATGAGATGAAAATGAAATCCCAATAGATATCATAACCCTGTGAGAAATGTGCCATTTTTTTTTTCAATCTTTCAGCGGTCTGCAGTATAAAGTTTCGAGTATTAAAGCATTAGCATCGCTCTTGACTTAGCGGATGCACATTCTCTAAGTGACAGAGAGCTCAACTCTCCTTCCAAAAAATACATTCCATACCTGAGATCCTTTCAGGGCTCTACAGGGCTAAAGCTCACTAGCTTTACCAGATCTCATTTTTTTGTGCATGGCTGTGCTGGCTTTTATTATTAGTGTGGCAGCCAGCCAGCTTGGATGGGTACACGTCTACTGCCCCCCCTTCCTTTAATCTGTAGGTATACAGTAGGTAATTCATGACACTTTATAGTCTGCACTCTCTGCAGGTGTGTTTGTACTGTGTCCATTGTTTCTGTCAGTCTAGAGGCCAAAGTGACCACCGGTGCAAACACGAGAAATCTTCACATTTTCAGTACGAAGTGGCAGAGCCGCTATTGTCAGTAGAGCGTCTTGAACTGTGTCCTGCAGGAGAGATACCCCCCCCCCCCCCCGTCTGTCTCTATTTCTTCTCTTTCTGTGGTTATGTGACTTTGGGATCCATTGCCAGAAATTCCAGGAAACCCTAGAGCTTCATGAGACATAACAAAGCTCTCTCTCTCTCTTACTCTGTCTTTGTCTCTCGCATTGAAGATTACACTACGTTTCTCCGTCTGCCTTTTGCTGGCCTGGGAGCTTTGCAGCTTATTCTCCCTGGGAGCTAAAAGTAATTTTATTCAGTGGCTTATTGACTCATATCATACCATTTTAAATGGTGGAGTTTCTTACTTTTAATGCCTGTGCTAATTCCAGACCACATACTCTTTAGACCATGGAAGACGCAATCAGTGAATGACATTAGCTGATGTGGCATTTACCACTAAATTGAGGATAAAATTCAGCTTTAGAGGTTAATTTATGTGGGGTACTTAAGCCTCCTAATTCCTAAATTTATTAGAATAACACATATCTCAGACAACCATGAAATTGTAAATAATTGAGCGGTGCTCTTACGAGGCTTCTCTGGTTGCTCCGTGGAAGTCGCTTCAAGCTTTTTTTTTAGCTGATGGCAAAACTGCAAATGAGATTTGGTTGACAAAGCAGAGCTAAATGGGAATAAATCTAAAATGACTGCGTCGTCCCTAGCTATAATCTGTCCATGGGGGGGGGGGGTTCACCCATGTCCTCGTGCTAGAAAATCGTCTCCTGCATCTGGATCACCTCTGCTCTCAAACACATAGCTGCATGTCTGCTGAAGCCCTCCATGCACCTACAGACATACCTATTCACCCTCACCCACCACCCACCTTGTGTTTACGTTCGGAGCTTGAGTGACTGGTATTTCATTTCGGCCTGCCCGGAGCCCTTTCGCACAGTTTGGCTTGGCCGGTGTACCATTACTGGTCATTAAGTCTAACCTGAACTAATAGGAGCCCATTTTCCAAGGTGGTCTCCCAGGTGGCTGTCACAGAATTGAGTGGCACTGCGGGGCTCGACTCAGGCACACCGAGTCTCGTGAAAAAAAATCTGCCCGGGACGCAAGCCAGATTCCATCATACACGGGACGCAGACTCTTTGATAACAAGAACCCATTGTTCTAGGGGGCGTCTGGGTGTTTTGTTTCTCATTAAGGCAGGTTTAATGAGGCCGGCCATTTAGTTAGCTACGGCACATCCACCTCCCAGACTTACAAATCATAACACATCACCAAATGATTCCTAATGTGTCACTTAATGTTCATCGCTTATACAAGGATGCTTACGTTCCCTTTATGCAATGGCATATTTCTAGTAAATGCCTTATGACTCTATTAATATATAACAGGGATGTTATAATACCAGAGATTTAGTAGTCGACACCAACACCATATAATGTATCTCATACTGAACAGAACTTGAATGCATCATATTGTAACTCAATGCAACGTCCGTTAACGTGAGCTGTTAGCTCAGCTATTTAGACGAGCAGGACTGTGCAGCCGGCTTCTAACAGCTAACATTACTCGCTCTCCTCTTGCCGATTTCAACACAGGTTTGTTGTTCACAATGTAGCATTATCAGCATCATAACAGGACGCCTTTAGTCTCGAGCCCTGAGCTCCGGTACTTACAGTGTGTCTGCGGTACTGTAGCAAAAAGAGTGCCGTCAAGTTTCCCCCCCCGAATTTTGGCATCAACTTGGTACCAAAGTATCAGTTCTCGTGACATCTCTCAGATTAGAAACGAGTGTTTTCATTCACCATAATCCTAAATGGCATAATATTCAAGTGGCAGATATCTCATTATAATATAAAACTGTTCATATGTTTTAGCTGCGCCCTTCTTTCTGTGACATGTGTCATCATTAATCAGAAGAGAAGGAGCCATTAGTCTAAATACGGGGGTAATTAATCCACGCTCACACTCCATTAGACGTCATGCTCAATTTGTGCAGAGAGCTGTGTACTGGGTAAATAAGCAGAGACGACGGGACCCACAGCTATTATCCCTGTCGAGGTGCTAACATGCATTTCCAAGAAAGCTTTCATGTAAACACACACTTAGTTTAAGTGGATGTTACAACTGCAATTGAATAAAGAATACATTTTTGTCCATATCAAATAATTGCATTCATGTGTTTTCCTTAACGGAGGGAATTTGTGCAAACTGCTGTCTGATCAGAGGATAATCGTACGCATATGTATCTCAGTCATAACAAATGTGACTAGACTTCGGCATTAAAGCCAAACCTTCAGCCTCCGACAAGGTTCAACTGCAGCAGGGCATATAGCATGAATCAGCCCTTAGTTTAATAAGTACCATTTGGCTGTCATCTCGGCGGCCGTGGAGCTGCTCTATTACAGTAAAACCCCTCCAGTACAGAGCTGGGGTTATTCAATAAAACCCTGACTGAGTGTTTCTCCCAATCACCACTGGCAGAGCTCTGATGAGGTAAAAAGCTCTCCTATGCCAGCCTCTGTCCCTGCGGAGGACTGTCTGATTAAAATAGTTTTCTGAGGCCATATTTTTGTTCTCCTTGTCCATTTATCAGACACGAGCTGGAGTACAGAGGGAAAAATTGACAAATTACCTAATGCTTACTGAAATGAATCCACAAAAAACAATCTCATCTATAAAGGGTAGACGGATAGCGATTTCTAGCTGGTATTGTTGTCTCAAAGACACAAATATACATACATACCCTACATTTATTACTGGTGTTAAGGGAGGAAAGGCTTTGCATCAGCCGTTCTGCGCTTTTGATCTTCAGCCTTAATCACTTTCAACCCCCCCCCCCCCCCTCACACACACTTACCCCCTCCTCCTCCCAACAAGGCAGTGACATGTGAAGTGGAAAGAAACGGCAACAGCGGAGTGGCCCACTAGAGCCGGCCTTCTTACTCTCCCGTCCTCCTGCCTTGCGTGTAATGCATTCCTAAGCAATCCTCGGAGGCTCATATGTAAATGCCTGGGTATGCTTCTGATTAGGAGGCACAAAGAGTACACTCTATAAATGCACTCTTAAACAATTACCGCTGCTCCCGACTGCAGCCCCGACACAGACCTCAGACTGTGCTGCTGCCTGACTGGCTTATTCAGGTGGGAAAGATGGATGCGGACCATTTCAAACAGCGTGCCTTGGTATAAGACACGCGTGTGGAGTCAGATCGAAGAAGGTTTGAGAAACGAGACAAAGTCGATTTAACGAGCACCCGACTAAAAGGAAATTAGCCACCCACACTTTTGATTGTCAATGAATGGCTTAAAGCTGCTGTAATCGAAATGTGTATATTAACAATGGATCAAATAACTGTCTTTTGTGAAAGCGACGGGCCCACAGATCATTGTAATTCTGCAGCGCAGCATTTGAGCTTTTTCAGCACTATCTGGGCTGCAACTTAACTGTTTAATTCACTCTCATCGCTTTCATTGTTCAGATGTAATGAAAGACATTCTTGACCTACTGTGCACTACCTGGCCAGCACCAAACAGCAGACCGACTAAGCTAGTGCCTAGCTAATGCACATAGCGGAGTATTTAGCTGCTTTAGAGCCGGCTGTTTACCTCAGGAGTTGGTGGAGCCCAAACACAGAGCTAGAGGGAGAGAGAACATTGGACATACATTAGTCACATGACCAGAAATAAAATTCCACACCAATGATAATGTTTCTCTTTTCGCGAGCATGTTTGCCTTACCAACTAACATGAAGTGTGTTTGCATGTTGTTTCTGTTGCTCCAAGTGGCCAAAATAAAATAAAGGTTAATGCAGGTTTAAGTCAAAAAATGCTAAATAAATGTCCTGGTTCCACCTTCTATTGGAACTTATGACATTGATTGGAAAACAAACATTGAAGTTATTAATCAATAAAGTAATTGGCAGACTCAATGGTGTAAATAATCAGTCATAGCCCAAAATATATTAATGTGTTTTGAGACCATCTGACAATATTGTACTCGCCAAAGATTTCACACCAAGACTTCAAACAAATGTTCAAATTTTCGAAACTTGGTTGGAATAAAAGAGATTCTGAACTTTGAAGCTCTTCCAGAAAAACACAGTAGAAGTCTGACTCATGTGAATACCCATGTAAGGACACAGTGATTGTTTTATGTGTATGAGGTAAGCCCTCATTTCCATCATTACCACATACAAGCCCGATCTCGCTCTTTCCAGTTCTCACTCCCATGATGGCAGCCGTCCAATGTGGACTCTCAAAGCTGTCCTTCACATTCGCCATACACACTTCAGCACACGCAGCGCCTCGATGGCCACACGCATAAATCCAGCAGGCCTATAACTGACCTGCACACTGCCCCGTCTGTCCCTGAGAGTCAGTCAGACTGCCCCGTGCCATTCATAGAGCGGTTAACCTTGCTAACTGTGTAAACACATGACCTCACCGGTCATGTGTTTACACTCAATGGTATTTTTCACACGCCGCTGGGATTTACATCACTTTATATAGTCCACGTTCCCCTAATTCCCCATTGCCCTAAAATATGGGACTTTCAAAAGGTGATTTGACAGGCTCTTGATTTGCCATGTTTGTTTAGTTTTGGGACGCTATGGGAGGGAAGACGAGAGGCTGAGAGGAGAATGGAGGAGGGGGAGGTGAAGAGAGGACAGGGAGGAAAGAATGGAAAGTTGGCGGGGTGAGGAAGTAGGGTGAAGTGAAAATGAACATTATAGTCATCATTTCTTTTCGGGAGACAGGGGCTGAGGTAGAATAGATTGGTGTTAAAGGAGAGGAGGGAGGCGAAGGGAAAGTTAATGTAGCTGTTAGGAGAGAGACGAGTACGGTGGTTTCTCTGCCACAGGGACACACTGTGCACGTCTGAGGTCCCAGTGGGAGGACGCTGAAGGAAAACACAAGGCCAATCAGCTAACAGAGACATTTCCTGTGCTTGTTTTATCAGATGAGAAGAAGCCCAAAGGCTAAATGTCCCCCTTAACAACGTTCTACACTTCTCGGAATAACCCGCTTTAGGGAACGGAGAGGAGA